TGTACTTCTTCAACTAACTGTGAAAACATTCTTGCAAGACCACGAAACCTTATTTTTCTAATTACCAACACAACAGGTTGATAAATGAATGATGAGGCCAGGTATGAATGTCATTAAATAGACCTCACTTAATTATTTATCCCTGGATCTGGGGTTACAGCTCAGAGAGCTGTGCATATTGTAGCATGGTTTGCTTGAGCTCTGAGACCTGAAGACCAGATTACATTGTTGGCAGGTGGCTTTTGTTGATTGCAATTCAAAGGGGTGATACACATATTTTTTTAAGTCAGACGTTTGGATAGTTTGAGGCCAAAAGATATTCCAGGGTTATCCACAAAAGCCTATTTCATTTTAACCATATAGAAAAATCTCTTTAAATATTCAGATAAATACAAATGAATAGGAAAGTGGATTAGCTGTAGAAAAACATGCATGTAAAGATGTTTTCTTCCATCTTAGTGTTCTAAAGACTCTGTTCTTTATTTTCTTAGTTTCTGCTATCTGTCATGGGCACTTTAGTATTCTGTATTGATCAGTCTTTATCTTCATATTGGATTTGTTTTTCTACCTTGTTTCTAATTGTAAAATGAAATATGCTCTCTGGCTAAGAAATATGTTATCAAGGAGAATAGAATTGGGTGATACTAGTTTTTTTCCATCCTGAAATTATGCCAGCTTATTGCAAAAGTCAGCCCTCAAAATGGTATTAAAGCATGCCCTTTCACTGAGTCTCTGATCTCTCAAAGCCCAATGTCCCTTCTTGAAGGCCTGTAACCTGCAAGAGTACTTTCTTACATTCTGTGAGCATCAGATATGGGTAAAGAATCTTTTCTCATTAAACAATTATTCGTGGCCCACCCTCTGCCCCTTGGGTTTGTTTTAAACCTATCTCTAACATTTCTGATGAGTTGTATCTTGTCATTCTGGCTTGGGTGAGCTATGGGTATCAGGGATTAGCTAGAATGGCTGTTCAGGGATCTCTTTGGCATAACACTTACAGGGGGGCAGGAATGTCTCGGAGAATGAAGGAGGGGGTAGAGCATTAAGGAAGAGAAGAAATTCATACCTGAGATTATATAATAGATAATAGAGTCTGGACTTTTATTTAAAAACTAGAATCAAGATATATATGTTGAGGATAGAGTGGGGTAGTAATTGAAAGACAAATATGAAACTATATATAGTGTCAAGGAAAACTAATAGCAATTGAAGAGACAGAAGTAAAACTTGTTTATATTGTTCAAAGGAAAATTATAACAACTGACAAAAACTTCCTTAATCCCATGTTGATAGGGTTCTATATTATTCACTGAGTTTATAATTAATTTTGTAGTGATTTTAATTTGGTTATATCCCTGACTTCTCTCTCTTAAGTTTTGCTAGTTTAATGTTCATGAGCTCACAAAATTAAAAATCTTGGTAGAAATATGGAGTAGCTATTTCTTTATACTTCTGTTTAGAACAATATTGTGCTTTTGAATTGGCTGCTTATCTAGAAAGTGATATGAATCTAAAAAGCAAAACTGATGTCTTTTAAATTGTCTGTTAAATACTTAGAGCAGTGGAGATGTCTTAAAAGTGAGGACTTTATTACATTTGAAAAACAAATTTTAATTTTATGACTAAGAAGAATTTCCATTTCTCAACTTACATGTGTTCATTATACTAGAGATTAATATAACTCCTACATATAGTTTTATGAATTTCAAAATTCTTGATGCCAAATAACTGAAATATAGTCAATTCTGCCATAATGTGATATATGGGTTCCTAAAAATCACTACACTATACAAAACTGGGCAATAAAAACACATTTTATTCAAAAAAATGGAGATAGGCACACAATACTTAGAAAAATCACTAGTGACACATTACAAAAAATATGGGAATTTAGTAATAACAACAGCAAATTTTTACACATGTTAATGGTTAAGAAATTTACAATAAACATGGCAGTGTATTTTAAAAAGACCTAAAGTTTCTTGTGGAAGTTGGCCTTCAAAAGGGTTATGGCTTGTGAGTTTTTGAGAAGTGTGGAGGGAGGGTCATTGCTGTCTCATTTGTGAGCAGATAAGTCTTTTCTACCTTTGTGGGGAAGTGCAGTAGCTGATGGATGAGGTGTGTGTGTGTTTTTTGTATTCCTATGCCTCTTAGTTTAACTGGTTGCAGTTTTCTGCATTCAGCTGGTGTTGCTTATGGATAGAATCACACATAAGCAAACCCAAAACTTGTGTTATGATCAAATTGTTCTGTAATATATCAGTCATGTTAGAACAAGGTAATGGTTTCACAACCAGCATTACCGTAGAATTGACTGTGTAATAACCCCTTCAACACTTGCACACCTATGATCCCACCTTGTTCTTGCCACCACCTTAGCAAGCAGGGCTGCAATTGCCTGACCATTTGTTTGTGTTCTGGGAAATCCTGACCTATTAAAAGTCACACAGTAACTGAGGGAATCTGTGTCAGACTTTGCCTAGGTCTGTGTGAGTCTGAGGCAGGCCTGCTTTCCTCTGAAAAGGCAGACCCTCATGTATGTGGGACAAAGAGCATCAAAAACATGGGCAAGGTCATAGAGACAGATCCCAGAGACGGGCTTAGAACCCACCTTACCTGATTTTCTGTTTAGAGGCTTCAGTTCACCATCTCAGAAAGTACCTGTTGGCTGCCATCCTCCCGCCAGTCTTATCACCTCTACAACACATTGTTAATGCTTAGATAGGCTGTGTTTTCTTCATTGCAGAGATCTAAAACCCCAGCCGTGAGAACTCAGTTTCTAATTTTTGCCATTGCTTTATTGGCTATTTTAGAATGTGTGAAAGGTTTTAGAAATTGCTTTTCAATGAATCTTACCAGCACAGAGGTCATGTCAAGTATCAGGATGTTTGACAACAAGGCCAGTCTAGCCTATCCATTGAGTGTCAGAGAAGATTAACGATAAAGGTTGCAATCCCAACGTCAGGAATGACTTTGCTTTCAAGCATTAATTAATGTGGAAAATAAAATCATTAGATACTCCCTTGTCTACATCTACCCCAAGCTATGTCAATTAGCTCTATTTCTAGAAAGTTTACATTTATTAAACACTCACTGTGTTTGGTCAGTGCAATGGTCAGTGCTATGAAGATTCAAAAAGACAAGATATTGTTTCTACTATCAAGAAACTGATTTGAGAGTTCCGTCTAATTACTGAAGAGAATTTTTACTACTGTACCTGCGTTTTACATGCCACAGTATACATGTACAGGTGAAATGAGGCCCCATTCCCTAGTATCAGTTAAGTCAGCAGGTGTGTACTGTTTTTCGGTCACTCTGTATTGCAAAATCCTGAGTTTGGCACTGATACTAAAGAATTTCTTCCAAAAAGTTCTTCACTGACCTTTCTTTTTTTTTGAGACAGAGTCTTGCTCTGCCATCTAGGCTGGAGTGCAGTGGCACAATCACAGCTCACTGCATCCTCCACTTCTCAGGTTCAAGTGATTCTCCTGCCTCAGCCTCCCCAGTAGCTGAGACCACAGGCACGCACCACCACAACTGGTCAAGTTTTGTAATTTTAGTAGAGAAGGGCTTTTACCATATTGTCCAGGCTGGTCTTGAATCCTGGGATTGCAGGTATGAGCCACCGCGCCCAGTGAGACCCATAGGAGTTTAATTATAGTCACATGTTAAAGGATCTTTTCTATAAAAGCACACATTCCAGGAGCCATGCAACTGAGGACAGCATTGCACTTGTGGAACCACAATCCAGGCTTGGGTTCCTATCGTAAAAGAGGCTGCTCTGTCACATAAAAATATGTTCTGCAGCCCCTGAGGGGCGAAGAGAAGCCTGGGTTGCCTCTATTTGTAATGTACTTTTTTGTAAATTTTTTTTGGTAAATTTTAACAAACAACAAAAACGACTGTCCTAGTTCAGGTTGATAGAACAAATTACCAAGACCATGTGACTTAAACAATAGGTATTTATTTCTCACCGTGCTAGAGGCTGAAAGTGAAATCTAAGTGCCAGGATGGTTGGGCTCTGGCAAGGGCCTTCTCCCAGGTTGCAGATGGCTGGCTCCTTGTGTCTTCCCATAGTGGAAACAGGACTAGCTAGCTCTCTGGCTACTATTTATAAGGGCACAAATTAGTGAGGGTTATACCCTTATGGTCTGATTACCTCCTAAGGGCCCCATCTCCAAATACCATCACATTGGGGATTAGATTTCAACATACAGATTTTGATAGGGACAAACATTCATTCTATAACAATGACCAAACAAGGTCACAAAAATTACAGTATATATAGCATGCTTGCATTATGTTTTGATGAATTAATGTTTTTTTTATTGTGCATACCAAAGAAACTAATGCAACTAAATGTGTAAATATTGGGCAGTAATGTTAAAGTTTAAATTTAAAGCCCTTTCTGAATGTGAGGCCAAAAGCATTCCTTTTCTCTGTTTCTCTTCTCAATCCCATTTACTTTACAGAATGATTTTTCTGTTTGCAGTCATAATTGCTTCTTCTTTTTTTTTTTAAAACAGGATTAGGTACCAGGTCATTAATTGTGTTCTATGTCAGTTTGTCCTAACCTCTTTGCCCTTTTCTTTTTTTCTAAAAGAATCTTTTTTTTTTAAAGGACATATTTTAAAATAAACATTTGATTGCCAGAATCTGATGTAAACTTCAGATTCAATTTTACATGTGGTAGAAATGAAAAGACCTAGGGTTCTCTATTTGACACTTAGCATAAATTCCTTTTCAATGATTCCAGCTGATTAATAAGTGAGACTAAGATATCTTACTCTTCCTAGCCAGAATTTAAAAATTAAGCATGCATTGAAAATCTCTAGGTTATGAAATGCAGGTCTACATTCACTTGTGAAGGAGCTAGAAGAAATAAGACTGAAGACCTGGTAAAATTAAATGCCTACTATTTCTAGTCTCCTGCTACTTGAAGTCTGCTACTTCATTGCAACTCACCTCTTTTTATCTCTTATATTGTTTTATTTTCTCAGGGAAGCAAAAAAATTTGTGAGTGAAAATGAAGGGGCTCTTGGGAAAGGAAAAGGAAAACGATGGTTTGCATTTAAGATGATGATGGCCAAGGTAGGTATTCTTATAGTTGTCTGGTTTACAGTATGTTGTCCCTAAGAAGGAGAACATGGGGTGAAAAAAAATCTATAGGGGTGAAAAAAATATCTTGCATTTGTATATATAAAGCACAAATACTAGTACAGTATATACACAGCCTCTCTGTGGTATTGAAGTTTACAGGGGAGATTTAAAAAATTGTCCTCAGTGGAGTTAAAATGTAAAATAAGTCAAAAAATACAGATTTATGGCAAAAGACTTACTTGTGTGACTTTAGCACTTCCAAATATAAAAGATTGCGTCCTTTTTCATTTTCGTTCTCTGGAAGTGAAGGGGTTCTGGTCAAGTTGTTTTTCTTGAAGTGTCTATATAGCTTTTTTCTACCAGGAACATTAACTATACACTGGACAGAAAATAAGAAAAAAATAAATGATACACTGATACGAATATAGATTTTGGGAAAAGACAGAAAAGCAACTAACATTTATTTAACACTTGCTTTGTGCCAAGCACTGAATTGAATTCTTTTATAAAGTTATATTTAATTCTTACAGTAAAGTAGGAACACAGATATTATTATCTCCTCTTTACAAATGTTATACCAACTGTAAGCTAAATGTATTCCCATAAAGTTTTGTGAATAAAGTTCATATGTCTTAACTTTCATATATATATAGATAGATACAATAGATTAATTTTGTCTGCTTCTACAGTTTAAATAAATGGAGTCATGTAGTATTTATATGTTTGTTTCTGGCTTCTTTGATGCAATGTTATATTCACAAGATATGTCCATGTTGCTGTGGAAGTTATAGTTTATTTTTATTCATGTGTTGTATTCTATTGCATAAAGATGCCACAACAATTTATTGACCCATTATTTTGTAGATGATCATTGTGGCTGTTTCTAGTTAAGCTTTTTCTCTTCATTAAAAAAACGAACTCATACACAATTCTTAGTCTTCTGGTTTGTTGAAACAGTAATCCAGACATTTGCTACAATAATGCCTGTCGGCCGGGCATGGTGGCTCACGCCTGTAAATCCAGCACTTGGGAGGCCAAGGCGGGCGGATCACGAGGTCAGGAGATGGAGACCATCTTGGCCAACATGGTGAAACCCTGTCTCGACTAAAAAAATACAAAAATTAGCTGGATATGGTGGCTCAGGCCTGTAATCCCAGCTACTCGGGAGGCTGAGACAGGAGAATCGCGTGAACACAGGAGGTGGAGATTGCAGTGAGCTGAGATTGCACCACTGCACTCCAGCCTGGGGACAGAGCAAGAGTCTGTCCCCCCATCCCACCCCCCAAAAACATCTGTCAAAATGGCTGGCCATGAAATCTCCAGCAATACATTCATCTGAAGGGCATTCTTAATGAAGGTGACTAATTTTTCCATTTTCATCCACCTTATAGTATTTCAGGACAGCCAGCTTAATCGTCCTTTTCTTATGCTTACTCTTCTCTGGAGTGGTGTAAGACTTCTTCCCTTTCTTAGCACCACCATGAAGTCTTGACACAAGATGAAGAGTAGATTCCTTTTGAATGTTGTATTTAGACAAAGCACATCCATCTTCCAGTTTCTTGTCAACAAAGATCAGTCTTTGCTGATCCGTAGATATTCCTGTCTTATCCTAGATCTTGGACTTTGTATTTTCAATTGTATCCCAGGGTTTAAACTCTAAAGTGATGGTCTTTCCCATAAGGGTTTTTTAAGAAAATCCGTGTTTTGGTGGTGGTTCCACTGGAGAAAGCAGATGGAAAAAAAAAGTGGGTAATTTTTTGAACTTCAGACTTGTGCTGTTATTTAGACAACAGTCCCTATCTAGCACCCACATCATCCCAGCACGATATGCACATATGCAAAGTTCTCTGCCACATTCTCCTTCTTTCCACTGGTCCTCTTGATCATGGATGACCCAACACTGGAGTTAAATAGAAGGAAGACCTTTTGTAAAATGAATTTTAGACTTGTTTTCTTCTCTTTCCATTAAACTGACTACTCTGCCTCTACCAGATTGAAGTGTCTCATGTCATAAAACTTACTATCCTGTATTGAACTCACCTATTTGTACACAATCTACTCTAAAAGATCAGAAGGCTTTCAAGGCAGGACCAGGAAATAAAAGACAGAAAATAAAATTTATTCATATTGAGTCCTCCATACCATGAATACTAAATGCACACTGTGTTCCGATCACCCTATTATGTGCTAACTAATTCCCTGCTTTCTTATTGTCTTACAGAGTAAGTAGCTCTTTCTGAGTGGTCAGCATATGTCCCATAACATAGGGGATTGATCAACATTATTTTTATTGAATTAAATTGGTTTGTGGTTAGTGGAGAACAGGGAAACGAGTGAAATCTACTGTTACCCCTTTTGACTAGAAAGCAGTATTTGATGCCAGAGAGACCTTTTTCCAAGCTCATTGCATTGTAATGTTGTGAGATGGGGGGATAAACATCTTCACAAATCAAGATGCTGGACTTTACTGTTGTATTTGACCTTCTTTTCAGAAATGGGCAAAATTCCTCCGTGATTTTGAGAACTTCAAAGCTGCATGTATCCCATGGGAAAATAAAATCAAGGCTATTGAAAGTAAGTGCTCATTGGATCTCAGATGGAGAAGGTTGTCTTAGAAAAATATCTTATAAGCTTATCAGATGCCTTTCTCAGTTTCTGGACTTTGGGAAGACTGGAAACAAACAAATAAAAACAACCAAATAAACAAAAGCATTGTTTATGACTGCTTTGGTCATTGTGAAGATTTGCTAGCACTTAACCAAGGACAGCACTAGGGACCCCACTCTCATGTTCTACCTTAGTCCGAAACATTACCATTCTAACTGGATTTTCTTTCCTATACAGGGAAGTCACTGCTGTGCACAATGACGTTGGGTCATCTTATTTGAAAGGCAGAGATTTTATTTTGGCAATGAACATGACATTGAGAATATATACTCGTGAATGTTAGACAGTAATCAAAATGAACAATGTTTTAAAATGTGAAGATATCTTAGGCTGGGCATGATGGCTCATATCTGTAATTCTAGTACTTTGGGAGACTGAGGTGGGTGGATCACTTGAGATCAGGAGTTCGAGACCAGCTTGGCCAACATGGTGAAACCCCATCTCTACTAAAAGTACAAAAAATTAGCCAGGCCTGGTGCATAGCCTGTAGTCCCACCTACTCTGGAGGCTGAGGGAAGAGAATCACTTGAACCTGGGAGGCAGAGGTTGCAGTGAGCCAAGATCAAACCACTGTACTTCATACTGGGTGACAGAGGAAGACTGTTAAAAAAAAGAAGAAGAAAGAAAGAAAGAGGGAGAAAAAGAGAGAGAGAAAGAAAGAAAGAAAAGAAAGAAAGAAAGAAAGAAAAAGAAAAGAAAGAGAAAGTGAAGTCTTAAAACCTCATTTTTAAATCTCTGAAGTAGAATAAGCAATAGTCATCCAGGACCTTGCTATCTGAATATTCACATTGTACCTTTATTCTGTAGAATATTCATAGGAAAGAAGGAAGGAGAATGCAGCCAATCAAAAATCTATTTAGTTCAGGGCTCTAGGCTTAGAATAAGGCAAATACAAATTTTAAAATATTATAAATAAAAATAGTAAATTTTTTTAAAAAGTAGCAAGGAATCTAAAAAAAGGGATAACATTTGAAACTATTTTGAGCACAATCTTGCCACATTCTGGTTTCTAACGGTTTCAACTAGGATCTGATTTTTATCCATTCCTCTCTAGATTGGAGGCAGGTTTTCCTGCTGGTTAAGTGTGGTGTTGTATAATTAAAATGGAGGCTCCATAGGGAGATAACACAGCTGATGGATAGCTTGCTGACATGATTGGACATGTTTTAGGAGTGGCTAACCTTCAGTTCCCTATCTTTCAATATAGGATGACAATTACTAAGTGACAGTGAATTAAAATACATCAGCTCATTAATTGTACCCCCTTCCACACATTCCTGATGCCATTTCTTTCCTGCTTGAATTTCCTCTTTAACACAAGTATCGAAAATACTGTATCTTTAATTTAATGTAATCTTGATTCATTTTATTTTACATTCATTTCTCCCAATAGGGGACATTTAATTTTGTTCACTTCTGAATTCCATTTGGCACTTAATAAATGTGTATTGAATAAAATTACAGACAGACTCTCTAAATATCTACCATTCTAGGAAAAAAAGGAATTCAGACACATCAAAAAAGGGCAAACATCATGGATTTCTTAGGTTTCAACTGTACAGCTCAAATGTGGTAGCTTGAGAGGCATTGAGAAACAAAAGGACATTTGGAATATTAAGATCCTGATACAATCTATGTGGTAAGAACTCTGAATTTGGTCTTTGCTTTGCTGCAGATTAGCTGTTTGACTTCAAGCCGGTCATTTAACCCCTCTGGACCTCAGTCTACTAATTTATAAAATTATAGGGCTGAGTCTTGATCAGTTGTTATATATGTCCCAAGAAATTTGAAATTAATGATTGGTAAACACATACATTTGAAAATTATTTTTAAAGCACACTAGAGTAGGTTCCAGCCTATCTTAATAGTAATATCATGCTTGTTTGTGTTCCAGTCAGCTATATCCAGTGAAACAGAAACAGACAGAATTATTTTTATTGCCAGAAGCTGCATGCAGCAAGAGTTACACATATGACCACCATCCATCATGAATGTCACAGTAGAAAAGACAGATTGAGAGCTATCCAATAATAACCTTCACTTATCTCCTGTCTTCTTCTACTAAATTTGGAAAGCTAAGCTGGAAAATTCAGGCAAATGTGGATTATTTTTCTTTCCGTATATAATTTATTATTTGATTAGTTTGTCATGACTTCACTGTTAATGGTGCTTTGTCTCAACTGTGAAGAATGAGCTTTATTTTTTATTTTATCAATATTCACGAAATCATCATCTATTGAGTGCTACCATCAGTCAGATGCTCTACAAACATTATTTCATTTAACCTTCAATGTTCCTGCAATGTGCACATTAACCTTCCTATTTTACAGTTGTGGTTAAATAACTGTCCCAGAATTAGTAGCAGAGCTGAGATATAAGGAGAAATCTGTCTGAGTTCAAAAACGTATGCTTTTCCATGTGTTATGCTGCTTTTTCCTTTGGGGAAGGTTTTATACACTTTTACTTTTTAAATATGTTTTGCACCAGTTCCTAAAAAGTATTCTACCAGGCCAATGGCAGGATGAGTAGTTGTAGATTTTCTTGATCATTGTCAAAGAATTATTTTTCATTTTTTCATGTATTTACTTTTGAGTGAGTGATTTATTTAATTGTTTTGTATTCTATAAGATGCTTAATGTACTAAGATTTTAATGATAATTATGAGATTTGTGCTATAGTGTCAAGTTGAAAAATATATAACCTATCTAAGAATATATTATTAGAGCACTGAATTGGACTAACTATCTTATAGGAAGTACCCTACTAAGTATAGGTAAAGCATGTATCTGTGATGGTCTTTGAAACTGAACCTAATGACAAACGGGAAGAAGTAGGACATGCAATTGATTTTCTAAGGGTTGAGGACTTTTTGACCCCTACCAGTTCTGTAGTTTGGACAGTCTGTTTAAATCTCTGGTCCTCTGTTTCTACATTTAGGGCTACTACACCATCTTGGGTTTAATGAGTGACTACACAAAGCATTTCCAGCTCAGCATTCTATGATGTATAAGTTATAGTCAGTTTTACATGTATATGTAGGCATGTGAAATTCATTAATTCATACTTTTGATAAGCCCTCAAATATAATTAAATGCAACACAGACTTATACTAAGAGAGGACTGCATAATTGCCTCCTCAAATTCTCTTCAAAATAAAGTTGGTTAACTATGTATACTACTTATAGAATATATATCTAATTATAAAATTAATATAATTATTTTCTCTTAAATAAATGGCCATTTAATCTTACAAAAGCTTCAGAAATACCATTATATTCCTTTTGGACATCAGAATCATCTAATATATATCTTGTTAAATCCTCAGAATAAGCATGACATTATTGATGAACTGAGCAAATTCTGGATGCCTAACATGTCTCCTTCGGCGTGTTTCTAGGCACTATCGCTGCTGATAAAGACATGCAGAGACTCTACCCTCATTAATGTTACATCCAAATGGGTTGATACGTGTATGCTTGGATGGGGAATTATAATATAAGCAGATAAATACTGAAGGTAATTGTGGATTTTAGTAAGTGGATTGGGCAAAAGAGGAGCTATTGCCTTCTATTCCCAACAGCCTTTCTAATCCACCTTGCCACACACTCTGCTCAATGTCTAAATAATACTGAATTAATATTTTAAAATTTGGTTTTAAAGGAGTCCAAAATTAACAGCCTTCACTGAATTTCCCCAAAGCTCTGTCCGATAATTTTCAGAATCAAGAGTGGAACTCAAATCAGTCTAAAATTCATACTGTTTCCATCTTGATTCCAGTAAGACCTAGATCTCTTTATTAGCGTGAAGTGGATTCTCACCTGATGATTCCCAACTCTTTTTACTTAAAGAATAGATCTGATAATTCCTGCCACAGAGGATATTGTGAAGTTATGCATCACATGGGAATATTATGGAGTTTTACTGTCATGTCAGCCTTAAAAAGATCATGCCTGCAACTCAAGGTTTACTCTTGTGGACACATCTTATTAATCTCATTGAATTGCACATTTTTCTAAAGCAACTGCATATTTGTATCCCCAGGAAAAATAATCTATACCCATTGTGATGCCAACGTTATTGTTAAGACCATAAATTAAATAATTGAATGTATTTTTAGCTGGTAATTACAAATTTTTCTCAGGATCAAAATCTGCTTTTTCCTAAGAATAGATTGCATCATCAAAATTATGGTGTTAGAAACCTATTTTTTTTTTTTTTTTTTTGAGACGGAGTTCCGCTCTTGTTACCCAGGCTGGAGTGCAATGGTGCGATCTCGGCTCACTGCAACCTCCGCCTCCCGGGTTCAGGCAATTCTCCTGCCTCAGCCTCCTGAGTAGCTGGGACTACAGGCACATGCCACCATGCCCAGCTAATTTTTTGTGTTTTTAGTAGAGACGGGGTTTCACCATGTTGACCAGAATGGTCTCGATCTCTTGACCTCGTGATCCACCCGCCTCGGCCTCCCAAAGTGCTGGGATTACAGGCGTGAGCCACTGCGCCCGGCCAGAAACCTATTTTTTTCAGACTGGAAATAGCTTTGGATGGGAAATCCAAAGCACAGGGCATAAACCTTATGTTTCCTTGCTGCCCTAAGCACTCTAGAAAATACAAATCAAATTTGTCACTTTTAATTCCCTACCACTAAATGGTTTGAAAAAATTGTGCTTCTTATCCTAGCCTAACATGATGGTATTTAGATTGTAGTCACACAGCAGGTCGTTTCATTGGTCTTTTCCCATTTAGAAATGCTCATATTTATCTGTTTGTCTTATTACCCATCTTTTCAAGAGGAAATGATGTGTTATGACAGACTAAAAATCACTTTGCCTTAATAATAAATAATAGAAAGAGAGTTGAAATTTTAACTTTAACTTGAAAGAAATGAAAAAATTCAGGACCAAGAATATGCCTAAGCATAAAGCCTCAGTTTAATACATATGAGAGACTCTGTTTTTATAAATTAATAATTTACTGTGAGAGCAGCATTTATCAGTCTGATTAAAGAAAAAAGAATTGGTCATTGTGAGCATCATATTTGTGAATTTGACTGGCTTTAGCCGATTGATGGATATTACCTATACCTGTTGTTTCAGAAACACTTGTCCACTGCATATTTATTGTATATATCATAATTTTAAGAACATTAGTTGAACTATGTTTTACTTAAGGGGCCATTTAGCAGTGTGGTTAAGAGAGTTCTAGATTTGGAGTCAAACGCCTATAGCTCAAGACTGCCTGGTTTAGAAGCCTGGCTTCCTCATTTACTAGCTGCGTAACCTACAGACCTAAGTCTCTGTAAAATGAGAATACAATAGTTCCCATCTCAAAGGGATTTGCCAATCATTAAGTAAGTTAATACATACAGATCAAATTGGTGTTTGAAATAAAGATTCATTAAATGGACCTATTATTAACTGCCGTGTTTAAGTTTTTGTTTCCCAGTTCATCTTGGGACTAATAATACTTAACCTCATTAAGTTCTAGTGACAGCATAATGAGTTGATACTGATAAAGTTCTTGGTACATGTAACTGACCATCAAGATATGCAAGCTATTATTATTATTATTACTACTCATTTTGCTTCCTTACCCAAGTAAATCAGTTTTAAGACTAAGTATGTAGGAATTGCTATTCTTTTAGCCATACTATAATCAGGCATTTCTTTTTAATGAACATCAGTTTTAGTCAACAATATCTGGTAGGACAGAACCACTAGGCAAAAGGGATAAGAAGGGAAAATTTCTTTATTTTAATTTTTGTGTTGAGGCAGGAAAAACTGGAGTTTTGATGATAACACATTTTTTCATTTTCTGTCCTTTAAGCTCTGCATTTGTTTTATTACTGTGCTTTCTCTTCTGCCATTGACAGGTCTAGTGTAGAAGAAATTTTGTCTCTGGATTTCTTAGCTTATTCTACGTGTGTCTGGATTTTTTCTGTAATCGTTCTTGTTTTAACGAAATTTGTTTGCCTGCAATTTATTTTCTTTACATTTAGGATTCTGTAAAGATTCAACCTCCAAATAAAATAGTTGTGAAACTACCGTCAAATCTGAGAAATGGAGTTTGGAAGTTTTGGACTCTAAAGTATATTTCATTATAATGCATATGCATGTTGGAGGAGGGGATACTTTCTGAAACATCTTAATCCACTACTCTCTTTTGCATTTAGGTGTATTTGTACTCTACACACAAGAAACTCATTTGCCAGTGTTTGTATATAGGTGCTGAGAGGATGGGCTGTGGCAATAATTAGAAGAGCAAAACTGTAAAAAGGAAGGAAGGAAGGAAAGGAAGGAAGGAAGGAAAGAAAAAAAGAAAGGAAAGAAGGAAGGGATTAAAGTCCTATATGTGGGACTTTATACTGGAGGATCTCACATGTGATTCCAGGGAAAAACTTACCTTAATACCTAGCGACCAAGGCTTTCCTCCAGTAAATGAGTAACTGTAATGAGTAACAAACTGGGAATCCACTGCCTTCAATAAAACATGATGAGTGAACCTGGCTGAGCAGCCGTCAGGTAGCTGTTACCAGAGAATGTAGATAACAGCCGTGAAATGGTATGAAGTCACTGGGAGCCAGATGGGTGATCAGATTTCCTAGGAGAAGCAGACCAGTGCACCTGGTGACAGCACTGGCCTGGAGTGGGGTGGGATTGTTTATCAAAACCACACACCCATAAAACCTTATAGAACTCTGCACTCCTTGACAATGTGAAATCCCAAATTCTCTTTTGAGCATAAAGAAAAATTCTCAGACTTCAAAATCATTTACTTCTAAAATATCCATTTAAAAATTGAATTTCTTTTTTTTTTTTTTTTTTTTTCTTTGGAGATGGAGTCTCATTCTGTCACCCAGGCTGGAGTGCAGTGGCACAATCTTGGCTCACTGCAACCCCCGCCTCCTGGGTTCAAGCGATTCCCCTGCCTCAGCCTCCCGAGTAGCTGAGATAACAGGCATGCGCCACCACGCCCGGCTGATTTTTGTATTTTTAGTAGAGACAGGGTTTCACCATTTTAGTCAGGTTGGTCTTGAACTCCTGACCTCATGATCTACCCACCTTGGGCTCCCATAATTCTGGGATTACAGGTGTGAGCCACCATGCCTGGCCAGACTGACTTCTAAGTTTCTTAAAAAAAACTGCCACTGAGCACGTGCCTGTAATCACAGCTACTCAGGAGGCTGAGGCAGGAGAATTGCTTGAACCCAGGAGATGCAGGTTGCGGTGAGCCGAGATCGCGCCATTGCACTCCAGCCTGGGTAACAAGAGCGAAACTCCATCTCAAAAAAACAAACAAACAAACAAAAAAAACTGCCACTGAGTTATGGGATAAGAAAGATGATATGCAAAGAATAAACAAAGGGGATGGGTGTGAGGTCTCAATCCTGCAATCCCAGCACTTTGGGAGGCTGAGAGGCCAAGGCAGGTGGATCACCTGAGGTCAGGTGTTGGAGACCAGCCTGCCCAATATAGTGAAACCCCATCTCTATTAAGAATACAAAATATTAGCTGAGCCTGATGGTGGGCGCCTGTAATTCCAGCTACTCAGGAGGCTGAGGCAGGAGAATCCTGGAGGTGGAGGTTACAGTGAGGCAAGATTGCACCACTGCACTCCAGCCTGGGCAACAAGAGCAAAACTCCATCTCAAAAAAGAAAGAAAAAAGAATAGACAAATGCCCAGAAATAGAGGCTGACTACAGGTCAGCCTTATCAAGTAAGTAGAGGCTGGAATTTGCTCCCCATGAGACTTCATTTTCATTGATAGTGCTTCCCCACTGATAATATTTCAATGCTAGAAGGCTCCAGAAAATCACTGGTCAGTAGAGATGTTTAGCCAAATGAGACAGAACACATGGGCCGATGTAGCCTGGGACTGAAATGATTTATTTTTTTTCTTGGGCTACTGACAATGATAATCTGGAAGACTGGAAAAACTAGCAACTTGGTGCCGAATCTGAAATGACCATTAAAGAAACATTTGCTTTCGTAAATCTATGAAATCTGAACCTAAGACTTAAATTCTTGATTTTTCTTCTTCCATTCTCTGCTTTAAAGAAGATGCTTTTATTTTTTTCTGTCAATAAGAATTAACCAGTAACTTTACTTTTGACTTTGGGGGACAGGGGCGAGTTGACTGAACATTCTTGCCTATTGCCTATTCATTCCCCAAAACTGAAATGGTTTTTTAAAAGTCGGGCTCTTCACCCCTTCCTCTGGCCCTAAGGCTTAACACCTCTCAATGACTTCTTACATTTTAAATAAAATTCTCACTCTTTACCCTGTGTTGAGAGGCCCCACACACTGTGGTTTGGCCTCTCCATCCTTATCTGTCACCACTTTCCCTCATTCATATACTCCAACTGCACAGGCCTGAGTTTTATTCCTCAATTGTCCCGAGCCCTTGCCACTCAGGATCTTTGTTCTGGCTCTTTCCTCTGCTTGAGCTACTCTTCCACAGTTCAGCCTGTTGCTGTCTCTTCCTGAAACTTCAGATCTCTGCTTAGATGACATCTCTGATATTTTTTCCTTGACAAACCTTTCTAAAGCAACCCCTCTCAATACTTTCCCTTCCCTCCTGTAGAACCTACTATTATCTCTATCTCTATCTCCTATCATCTGTATCTATATCTATCTATATTATATCTAATGTCTATGTCTCTATCTCTATATCTTTCTATGTATCTTATGTATTTGCTATTTCCATACTTCACTAAAATGTAAGTTCTATTATAGCAGCCACCCTATCTGTGACATTGTGCTTCATATCTAAGATAATTGCTGGCATAAGATGTATGGAGTGAATGAATGAATTTCAGCTTCTACACCACTCCTGTAAAATTCCAGTAATCGAGGGAAACAGCAAGAGACTGTTGATAAGATAACTATTTGTAAAGGATGTGGTAAACTTTTTTTGAGAAGGACGTTGTTTGCCCGAGAAAAAGGGTAGAAAATAGCAGTAATTGTAATTATAGTAGTAGCTAATTACTAGCTAGGCACTGTACTTACCTTTACATATATTTGCTCACCTCTCAGTATTAACTCAAGGAACAAAATGTACCCTGCAGGTGGCAATCATGGCTGGTCAGCAAAAGGCAGCTTTTCCTTGGATGGACTCTTATGAGGCAGGTCACACGCAGTCTGTACAACTGCATTCTGCGTATCTTCTACATTCCACGTGACAGGGAATGCTTCCATCATGATTAACATTTTCTCTTCCTGAATAGAGAGAAAAGAATGCTGTAGCTTTACATATAAAAAGGACCAGTGTCTCACTATTAATAGATTTATTTTGGAAGGCAACCAAGACAAAGCTCTTTTTTGTTTGTTTGCTTTGATCTCCCTTCAAACGTTTTATTTTCTTTGTAATAGGTCAGTTTGGCTCCTCGGTGGCCTCATACTTCCTCTTCTTGAGATGGATGTATGGAGTCAATATGGTTCTCTTCATCCTGACATTCAGCCTCATCATGTTGCCAGAGGTGAGATCTGACTTCCAGTTTACAAAACCTGCTGAAAAATGTTTCTCCTAGAAAAGGATTTCTGTCTTCTTTAAGAGTAGAATAATTAACTGGCTATGTTAACCTCTTACAGTCATAGGATTTGTAATGAGATTAACCTTCAAAATGGTGCCCATGGGCCAAAGGTCCCAATCCTTGCACCAAAGGGTGTGTGAGCCTCCTGAAATTATACAGCTTATGTATAATTTCACATGAATGTTTAAATGTGCATCTTTATGTGGAAAGTTTCATAGCTTCTTTCAGTTTCCCAAGGGGGTCGTTGTTTCTAAAAACTATCATTCTCGAGGAAGACTTTGACACCTTGCAAGTTGTATTTATTTATTTTGCCAAGTTAACTTTGAAAGAAATGCTTCTTTAATGTGACTCAAAGCATCCAGATTTTCTATACTGAAGAAACACAAAATGAACATGTTCCCCCTAAGATATAAATATTATGCCCACTGCACACACACACACACATACATGCACACTCACACACACACACACACAGTGGGATGGGATGAGAGTAGGCACGGGGTCTTAGTTGATGTGGGGAAAGGGTCAGCTGAAGCCAAAAGCTAGATTGAGGTCAGAGCCTTCGCCCATATGAAATTAAATGATTTTGACGCCTTTGAATGCTTACCTTACAAAAGTTGGACTAGGTTTTATTTAACCTACAAAGGACCTTTTAGGACCAATATTTCAAAGCCAGTTTGGTCCATACAGCATTGAAAACAGCCAAAATTTGGTCTTTTGGTGACTTTTTATCGCAATAGCTTCAAATCAATGCCAGTTTCTGTACTAAGCCTCCCTTTAGCATCATCATAATGCTTTACATTCATAAAGAGATTGGAGCTTGTAATAGTACAAAGCAATTTCACTTCCTTTGTTTTTTTTTTTTTTTTTTTTGCTTGACAGATGTGATTTTATATGCATTGTGGAGCTTAAAAACCTAAGACGTATGCTCCCTCTAGGAGAATTTAATACACTAAAAGGGGAATCAGGTAAAATTACAGAAACAATTATAATACCTAAAAAAAAAGAAAAGATAAGTAATAAGAGTGATATAGAGTACTGTTGTGGGTCAAATGGGAAAGCATATCTTGTTAAAGGAGGAAAACCATGACCATGGTAACAGTGACCACCACCATAATAATGCCAATAGCAATGTCAAACATTTGCTCAAGACTTCTATGTTTCAGCACTTTTCTAAATCTCATATACATATTAACTGTTTAAATCCTCATAACAATTCTAGGAGGAAAAATAAGATGCAGAGGTGATACTTGAACCAAGATGCACCAATGATACTCAACAGAGATGATCCTTAACATAATGCTCAGGGTCACTAGAAGTGGCAAGGTGAGGACTCAGACCCAGGCAGTGTGTCTCTACAACCCACATGCTACCAACTGCACAGGCTACTTTTCTAACAAAAGCACAAGGCAAATAAAGCTCAGGATTTGATGAAGCAGCAATAAACCAGCCACAAGTTTAAAATCCCAGTCGCTAAACCAATAAATACTTATTTACCGTACCCCAGTATTTTCTTATTTGATGATGAATGCAAAACTCTTTCAATATAATTTAAGGGCTGTAATTATGCATTTATGTTTTAAAAACATTTCAGTACATTTCCATTAAAATTCAATATTCATCTGGGAAACCCTGCAGACATTGCCTGCAATGTAGCTAACATGTATAACCATGTAATACTGTGTTTTGCAATGTGAAATTTCTCTGAAGCTTTATTAGCTTCTAAATGAAGAAACTTAAAAAAGAAAAAAAATGAAGGGAGAAAAGGAGGGAGAGTGAGACGAAGAAAAAAAAAGAAGAAGGAAAAGAAGAATTAGCAGAGACTTGTCAACCATCCAGCAGAGGATAGGGTAATATGGTGGAATAAACCTGGAGTACCTGAGAGGTTCTATCCCAGCTTTATTATGCGAATTGTGGGCTGAGATTCCACAGTTCTCATTGGGTGATCACTCACAATTGCATTAATTTACTTAATGTGCCTCACAACAAATTTATGATGTAGACTGTAGAAGACATTTTCCCCCCCATTTAAAACATGTAAATGGAGTCACATAATGCTGATGTGACTTAGCTAACATCTCTGAGTGATTTTTTTTTTTAATTAAGCGGATCTAGGGCTAGAACCCATGATTCAATCCCTTTCCCCAAGATTCTGCACTTTAATCCACTAGTTTTATAATCCTTGAGATAATTCCAGGGCTTATAAAGTTGTCTGGCTCATAGAAGACAGTGACCAAAGATCAGAGGTCCTGTGTAGTTTGTTTCCCAAGTGCACACTTTCAGGCAGTGCAGCTGAATGTGTGTAGTTTATCTCTTTCAAATTAAACCCAGATTTTTTTTTTTTTTTTTTTTTTTTTAATACTTACCTCTCTAAGGAAACCTGAAACTCCTCCATTCCATCACTGGCTGCTGTGACATTACTTAGTGTCAGATGCAGGTATAAATGGAGTTTTATCAGCAGCATTTACTCTTTCCCCCACACCATGCTGCCTCCATGTGGAGAAAATGAAAGGCTGTCACTGATTTATTTGAATGATATGAAATTACAGAATGTCTTCTATGTAGTGGATAGAGTGCCCATGTGTTAGGTTGATATATTCCAAGAGCTAGGAAGCATGCTGGCTTCAGATACTCTTTTATAGGCTGTATTAGATGCTGACGGGCATCCTGTTTCCTAGGCAATGATGACCAACTCCAGCCAAAGAACAAGAGAATGGACACCCTGCATGCTGACTGTGCAAAACCACCAGCGGCCAGGGCAGTCATCTCCCGGCAGCAAGGCTGTATTTTTTCAGCTGCCTCTACCTGACAGGCTCACTCAATCTTCCTCCAAGGCACATGCCCTTTTGCCCCCAAGTCCTATGACCCTGGGCAAGCCTAAGACCTTAATCTTCTTTGTCTTCTGTGCCCCCCAACTTTGGGGTGAGATAATATGTGTGGAACCCACCCTCTATTCAAGGCGTCCCCAAACTACGGCCCGCGGGCCGCATGCGGCCCCCTGAGGCCATTTATCCGCCCCTCGCTGCACTTCAGGAAGGGGCACCTCTTTCATTGGTGGTCAGTGAGAGGAGCACAGTATATGGCAGCCCTCCAACGATCTGAGGGGCAGTGAACTGGCCCCCTGTGTAAAAAGTTTGGGGACACCTGCTCTATTCTTTTAGGACCAGGAAGCCAGATGGGCCAAAGGCCTACTTTGGGAGATTGTGCAACTTGTGCTCAGGGAATGAGTAGAGATTGATGTCCAGCCCTTGCTCAGTCAAGCTCTGTACCCAGGCTTCAAGATACATTCATCTTCTGTTCCCAGCTTTAGGAGGGAGGTTTCTATCTCACTGAAGAAGCAACATCTGCTTGGTGAGCTATGGGGCTAGAAAGTGCTCTTTCCAGTTCTCACCAGGGCACCTTCCTATGATCCTATTCTTGCCTGCTCACTGGCTCACTCTCCCCAGTACTATTCTCTCTACTGTGTTTCTCTCCCAATCTGGTAGCACGAATTGGAGGCAGCAGCCCTGAATTAGTGATGTAGCACACACCATCATCAGGGTGTAAGTGTTCTCACTTTGCAGACACCCACAAATTTCATGATTGGTTTCCTTTGAGTTCTCTTTCTTGATATGAAGGACAGAATCTCCCTCCACTCTCACTCCTAAGGACTATTCTCACAAGAAGGTGTGGGTAAGATGGTTTTGTTGAGTCCTACGTGACCTGAAAGGCTACCTCTCTACCTTTCTAGAACGGTTTGGTGCTGGTGGTGGCAGTGGGGTCCTCAGAAAGCCCTCTGTGGAATATGGTTGACCTGACTGCTAGTGGTTCCCTGAACTCAGAATGCAGGGTCCTTTGCATTCCCTTTGTTCTTACCTCTGGATTTAGTAGTTGATTCCCAGAAAATGGGTCCCCACATGGAGACCCACAGAATCCCCCATGAAAATGTTACAGAAGGACTTTTAAGCAAAACCATTTGTGATCACATGTGTGCCTCAGATTTTGTTTCTAATTGTTCTCTGCTTTCTTTGCTTCTCTATACAGTACCTCTGGGGTTTGCCATATGGCAGTTTACCTAGGAAAACAGTTCCCAGGGCCGAAGAGGCATCGGCAGCCAACTTTGGAGTGTTGTATGACTTCAATGTAAGTGTCTCCACACAACTGGATTTTTCCGTAGTTTATTTTATTCTGAAACCCACGGCCTCCTCTCCTGGGTGAGGCTGTCTTAAGAAAAATGTCCCTGCTCCCTTAAAAAAGAAAGAAAGAAAGAAAGATAAATACATATATGTCTCTTTATATAAATGTGACTACAATTTAGGTCAATGTTAATATGATCATATGGGAATATAGACTACTGAATAAAGGTGAGCTCAGAGTTCAAAGACTTGAAGCAAATATTCTTATCACTGGCTTTGGAAAAGAATAAAGGAAGAGTGTGAAAATGTGCTTTCTGGAAAATCTTGTTGGATTTCTAGGGAATTAAAACTCTTACACTTCCTACTAAACTCTTCGCTTCCTAAACAAGCCTCCCATTTAGTATTATTCAATAGTTAGAACTAAATAAAGCTAAATATTGAGAAATAAGGAATACTAAATTCTAACTTCTAAATAATACTAAAATTAGTATTACTCCATTGTAGTATGCAAATGAGCATTACTCTTTGAACTCCCCTAAGTAGAGATTATTACTGTGGAAAGGAGTTATTCCTGTTCATTGAAAAACCATTTTGGACTATATAATTCAAGTCTTTGACAACAATGTAATTCCACATATTCTTTTTTTAAGTAGTGACCAGATAAGAAATGTTTGGAAGCATATGGGTGGGAAAATAGCGAGGTAGAAATTGAGAAATTGATAATTCAAGTAATTTTTGGAGGATAGACAATGAGAATAAAGTTTTATATAGATTGCAGAATGAAGGAGAGAAAAAACAGACTTCCTGTTTATAGTGTCAATATGAATATCTCACAAACATTTTTATTTCTACTTTTAACCTCCTTAAATTGTGAGTTTCCCAAAGAAGAAATCTAGGTCTGCTACACCTTTTCAGCCCCTAATCTAGTCCTCATTCAATTGAGGCTAAATGAATCTTGTTCACTGACAGTCCTGAGTAAGGGGGAGGATTTGTAGAGCCTGAGATAAGAAGCAGAAAACCAGTTTACCTGAGGAGTTCCAGAACATGCAAACCTTAAGAAACATTTCCCATCCCTGAGTGAACAAAGCAAGCTGTTGAATTAGCGTAAGGCACAATGATAGCAACAATTCTGTGGCATTTGTAATCTTGAATCACCCCTGTCAGTTGGACTTCCCACTTCAATTCAGCACTTTTTAACTGAATTATAAACATGCTCAGGTTTTACAAAGATGCATGTGACATGATTCTTAACCTCAGGGTACTTAGGATAATAGAAGAAAGACATGTAGGCAACCAGTATACAAGATGCTGTGCACAAAGTTAGCAAAATTTAAAAGAAGAGAAAAAAGATTCTTGGAACCCTGAGCAAGTGGTTCTTACTTCTTCTGAGGTAAGTGTAGGTTTTACAAAAGAGATGGCCTCTGAGTTGGATTTTACCTCTTATCTTTTATTTCATTTTTCTATCACTTCTAACTTCTTTCATCTCTTCCTCCTCCCCTCCCTTTTCTCCTCCCTTTATTTCTTTCTCTCACTTTTAAATTTCAAACAATGCATTACTCTGTCCCCTTAGCACTGTTTTATTTCTCATTCTCTTCCTTTGATTAGCAAAATCATAAACTTCCAGCCTGCTTAATAAGAACAAAGACTAAGATCACTGACTTTTTTGGCTTTTTAAGACATACCAGAGAAAGAAAGAACTAAAAATATGAACAAAAGATCTTTTGATGTTTATATATACATTTCTGAAGTTTAAGCACTTCTGAATTTCCCAGTCAACTGAAACATAAAGTTTTGGGCAAAAATGTACATTTGAGATTTGAAAGATACTGACTCAGTTGCGGAAGACAAACAGAAAAGTTGCTGCGAGAGAGTTATTAATAAGTGGACAAGAGGGTCTGAGAGGCAAATTCAGGGGAAAGCAGAGGGAAAGGGTTTGGATAATGAGTGTGTTCCCCAAGATGGGATCACTGCTCTTGACAGCTCTCAACAGCTCTCTCATGTCCAGTTTGGTGAAATACTATTTGTAGGTCAGTAGGGGAATACAGAAACCAGAGCGTTCCATGATATTTATTTCTAGGCCTGCCTGAAAACAATCTTAAGGCAATGAGAGAATTTTTAAAGGTCAAGAAAATAAAAGAAAGCCATTACACTGATTTTATTCACTTACAGGTTTATTGCATGCTGGTATCAGTCTTTAATTTGGCATGTGTCATTTCTGGGGTTAGTAGTGATTTTAATAGCTCTTTTCCCCCAATGCCTACATCATGCAGTGAACTGTGATTGGTAAGTAAGGCCCCTCACTTCACAACCCACTTCATGGTGGATATTTATATCTGAGACTAAGCTCAAGAGTGTTCTCATATGTGAAATGGAGAAAATGATGGTATCCACCTCAAAGAGCATTAGTGAGATAATGGGTGAAACAGCAGATAGCTCAGAGTATGTAGCACACAGTATCGGGTGAATATTCCTTATCCAAAATGCCTGAGACCAGAAGTGTTTCATATTTTTGATTTTTTCAGACTTTAAAATATTTCTATATACATAATGAGAGATCTCGAAGATAACACCCAAGTCTGAACACAACGTTCATTTAGTTTCATATACACTTTGTGTATATGAAAGTAATTTTATCCAATATTTTAAGTAACTTTGTTCATGAAACAAATATTTGATGGTGTTTTGACTGTGACCTATCACATGAGGTCAGGTGTGGAATTTTTCACTGGTGGCATCGTAACGGTGCTCAAAACATTTCCAATTTTGGAGCATTTAGGAGTTCAGGTTTTGTTTTTGTTTTTGTTTTTTGTTTTTTATTAGGAATGCTCAGTTTCTAAATATTCCTTTTTAAAAGAACCATAACTTGACCAAAAGCAAACAGCTATTAGGAGACTGAATTGGGATGCAGGGCTAGTGGTATTATACAAGGCCACGTAAGTGGATAGTGACAAGCTAGTAAAAGGCCTTTTATTGTAACAAAGAAGTAAATACATAAGTAAATAAAAGTATTCTGACCTTAAAGAGGAGTTACTGAAAGATTTAAGGAAAGGAAGCGATAGGATTATGTAGTTGTTATCAAATTGCTCATTGAATATTATTATTTAAAAGAAAATATTACTGCTTTAAGGAATTTTATATTATATACAAGTTTTTATGACTTCGGGAGTTTGAAATGTTTGTCTTTTTTTGGGCAATGATTATATTCTAAATTTGGCAGGGAAAGATAGGTTGTTTCATGTTAAGGGAGATTTTGCTTTTAAACATTTGTAAGAAGAAGGAATTCCGCCCATCCTACAATAAGCCAATGATTGAACACCTTCTTTATACTAGGGTCAAAATAATTTCACAAGTACATCAATAAGAGAGAGGGCAGAACCTTTAATTATAAAACTGAAGATAGCAACAAGAAAAAAAAATGTATAAAGCTTAATTTAAAATATAGAAGATTTAGTTTCACAGTAAGAATCCAGGAGAATAAAGCCAAGTAGTCACTAGTAACAAGACATTATGGATTCAAATGAGATGCTGTCTTGGTCAGGACGTGGTGTCCTCTGCGGCAGAGGGGAAGAGGCTGCCTGAACACAGATTGTCTTAAGTATCCTGCATAGATGGGGGAGATCAGACACCACAAACAGCCTTTGGCTGTCGCCTTAAAAACGCCCGTGGAATGAGCAGAGTTGTCCTCCTTAGCACATTGGAATTGGACACAATAAGAAAATAATACAAGGAAGGAAAAATAAAATCTAACTGAGCTCAAGGACCTGAATATGAAACATCAGGTTAACCGGACCTTACTCAAAAGAGATAAACTAAATTTTCACTTACATTGCTTTTTTTAAATTATAATTTTTGTTAATAATACCAAAATTAATGTTGACTAAGTACTTACGTGGGCAGGCACTGTGCTTAGTGCTATGATATTTCTATTTATTTATGAATTTTATACTCATATATTTATAGTTCCTTATTCTACTTGTATCAGTATGCATCAAGAAAATGAAAGGCACAGGTATCTCGACAGAGATGATTTAATTTAAGAAATTAGTTAAACAAGTATTCGGGGACTAAAAAGGCAAAAGGGGACATTAAGGTACCATAGAAGCAGTAACAGGTAACACAGAACAGTTTTTACCCCTACTGTTGGGAGAACAGAAGAGAAAGTTGCAGTTATTAGAATCTAGGAGCTTGGAGAAGGGGTCCTGCATGACCCCTGCGGGTGTGATGCGATTGGTTTTGGGTGTGCTCAAACAGGCTGGAAACGGAACCAAATACTGTTACCAGAGTAAAGAGGCATTGCTGCAGCCATGCATTCAGGAAAGAGCAAATCCCTTCTCCCCACTTCTATGTCTGAGCACCTCCTATTGGAAAAATCTGCAGGGAATACAGTCTCAAAGCAGAAAAGTAGCTCCCAAGTCCTGTCTCTAGCATCACAAAGCGGAGCATACAAGGATGAGTCTGAAGCTGAAATAGCTTAATAACTGGCATGTTATTCTATTTATATTATAACCTAATCCTTATTCTAGTCTAGTAAGGTAGACATGACCATTCTAATTTACCTATGGGGAGACTGAGTTTCAGTAGGATTTGGTGTTTTCCTCCAAGTTTTGTGGATGGTAAGTGGAGAGGCCGGGATGCTCATCTGGTCTATCTGACATCTCCGACTCTGAAGTCTACGACAAGCTGCCTCTATATATGCTGCCAGGGACCACTGAGAAAGCTACAGTTTTATACTGGGAATTAACAGAAATAAGAGAATTTTAGAAATAGAGGTGCTCTTTGATATCTTCCATCCTATATCTTACCTTGTAACGTTACAGACATTTTGAGTTGCAGGGTCTTATAGTTGATTAGAGGCTCTTTTCTAGTGTTCTTTTCATGTCCTGTATTCCATGCATAATTTTCCTGTTGTAATTTCCAGCAACATTCTCACTGTCTGTTCCTGGAACATAGACTGATTCCATTTCATGCTATATCTATTTCACAATGGGAGAAGGAGTTGAAGCAATT